TGCGTTGCGGGACGGCGATCGCAGAAGCGTCGTGGCAAGGAAGAGGGTGCGAGGAGACGTTGCACGGTCGAGAGGGCGATGGACGCGCGTGATGAAATGGCGGGTTCTGCTGCGAAGTCGTTCTGGCTGGATCAGGTTGGAGGGGGACGATTTTCTGCGACGGCGAATCGTCATCATGGCTCGGAATGTGAAGTCGGTAACGGGACATAACGCAGAGGTAGCGTTAACGGGCTAAGCAGAAATTTCCTTCGAACAAGTTGATCAGCAACAGTCCGCCTGCAAGGTCCATAGTCCTTTCTCCCCTTGCAAGTTTCTGAAGCGATTCAGCCGCGAGGAGGCGTTAGAGGCAGCCAGAGAGACATTCCCGCTTGCTCCACGGGTCGAATCGAGTCAACACAGTGCTGCCAACGCCTTGAGGTCTGTGCAAACAGGCAGTGAAAGGGCCAAGCATTCCCAGGGCTGGCGGGGCGAGGCCACGCTAGGCGGGGGCAAATTCTCAAGGTTGAGGTCCCGCGAACCTTGGTTCGGAAAACAAGGTCGGTAACTATGTTTATCAGACGTTACCCCAAGGTATATTGAAAGAATCTAAACCCAGGTTTGTTACAGCCAAAATTATTGATGTCTTTACAGCCAACAAAATCTCATTCTATCATAACACTTTCACAAAAACGGCTACAAAGAGCCGACCCTCACTACGATCTATGCTGCCATAAAACCACGAAACCCCTGGAGGAAAGCAGACACAGCGTTATCACCCACAGAGGAACACCCCTCCTCCAGCTGCTGAGTATCCACCTTGCAAGCTGCCTCGTTCTTGCTGCACCACTTGGACTGCCTCAGCTCCTCTGCTGCCTCCCTCCACTGGAATGAAGAGGCCTTCTCAATGGTGGGGTCGAACTGAGCTCCCAAACGACTCTTGCCTGTGGAAACAAGTACAAACCATGCAGACACCCATTCATACATACATGGGTGCAAGACAGAGAGATGTAGCATAACAGAATAAAAAGGCACACCAGACCGCTATTATGTGCTGGGTGAAGGCAATGGCAGAATGTAAATGATCCATCGCAATCTCACCATGAGTGAAGGCAACATCAGCAAAGACAGCCTGGACATTGCAGCAGAAGTTGTCAAGGGCCTTCACACTCTCCCCCGCACGCAGCAGGTAGCGCCGGGCATCAAACGCCAGAAGCGTGTTGACCTGCAGGTCGTTCAGGCACGCCTCGCCTCTGTACAGCTGCATCCAGGGAAGCGTAACCAGGGTAAAAATACAATACATAGGGGACAAAGGGAGCGTATCATAGATTTAGTGATGCGAATTGCCTGCGCATCAAACAGCATGCAAGTTTTTTTCAAGTTTGACTGATGCAGACACAGCTGCTGACCGCTGCTGACCTTGTCATAGTCTGCGAGAATGGTGGAGATCTCGCGCATGCGCTCATCAGACTTGTCATCGAGGTTGTAGCCGACGCCGATAGCGCGGTACCCAAGCTGGCTGTCGTACGCACAGCGGCTGCGCCCCTCACTGCGCTCCATCACTGTTGTTGTCGCCGGCACACACGTCAGACTGTTGGCAGGAAGCCACGACTCTCCCACCTGGGGAAAAACAAAGAAAGAACAGATGAGCAACCGTTGGCAGCACAGCACATGGTAGCGGCAGAAGTGAAGCATGTATGCTGACTAACCTCTGCTCAAGAACAGAAGGTGGCAGCCAGACAGCCACACACGCCTCACCTTGCGGGCGCTGCTGACAGCAGCAGTGGGGCAGCCCTCCTCCATGGCCCTGGTATCAGCCCGGCACACCGCCTCGTGTTTGCGGCACCACTTGGAGCGCCTCAGCTCCTCCGCTGCCTCCTTGTACTGCGAGCTCAGCGCCCTCTCTATTGCCGGGCTGAACTGCGCTCCCAGCCGGGTCTTGGCTGAATTGAGTAAAAAATACAGGGTGAGGTGACAGCAAGTCATGAGCACAGGGGAGAGAAAGAACACGGAAGGAGGCCAGCTAGGTGGCAGACAGGGCCTTGTTATGCACTTTGCAGGACTGGCAGGCCAGCATCAATGGAGGTCACACTGTGATTGAAGGCTCACTGAGAGTGTAGATTCACCATGAGTGAAGGCGATATCAGCGAAGATGGACTGCACGTTGCAGCAGAAGCTGTTGAAGTTCTCAATGCGCTCCTTGGCACGGATAAGGTAGCGCCGCGCATCAAACGCCAGCAGCGCATTGATCTGCACGTCGTTCAGACACTCCTCCCCGCGGTACAGCTGCAAAGGATACACAACATTACAGTAGGGAATGGTTTTCAAGACGTAGCGTCAAACGCCAGCAGCGCATTGATCTGCACGTCGTTCAGACACTCCTCCCTGCGGTACAGCTGCGAAGGATACACAACATTACAGTAGGGAATGGTTTTCAAGACGTAGCGTCAAACGCCAGCAGCGCATTGATCTGCACGTCGTTCAGACACTCCTCCCCGCGGCACAGCTGACGGGGATAAAACACACAATACAGGAGGAAGTGAAACTAATGACAAAGCTGCTTAACGGTGAATACATGTGGACGTAACTCATGCAGCAGCGTAGCAGCACCAAGCGAAAAGCACAACAGCAGAGATGCCTACCTTGTCAAAGTCAGCAACAACGGTGGAGATCTCGCGCATGCGCTCGTCAGACTTGTCATCGAGGTTGTAGCCGACGCCGATAGCGCGGTACCCAAGTTGGCTGTCGTACGCACAGCGGCTGCGTCCCTCACTGCGCTCCATCACCATTGATGTTGCCGGCACACACGTCAGACTGTCCGCAGGCAGCCATGATGCGCGCGCCTGGCCACGAGCACGGGAGGGAACACGAACATGAAACCAGGTGCAATGCTTCAGATGCGTGGACAAACACGAAACTCGAAGTCAATCAGGTGTAGTCTTCTTACGAAAACAAGTTACGTAATACTATTCGCCTTCCGTGCGTCTCGAAATAGTATGGAAAAAGAAATAGGGACGCCTCATGAGCCATACGAGACGTGTAACGATCAACTAATAAGCGCGCGGTGGTGGTCGACTATTGAGAGAGCAGTCAAATAGCTAGACGTCGCGATGGCGTCGGATACGTCGTAGAACGTTTTGCTCGGACTTACAAACGGAACGGCCAGAAGAAAGAGAGCAAGCAGACCCAAAGCGACCAATCCGGAAGAGCGAGCCATCAGGGAGGACTGGCGGAAAAGCAGGAGCGGAAGGACAGTAGCAGCTAGAGGGGAAAACAGGAAAAAAGACACGCGGGAATTGCGATGAAAGAGGAAGAGCGAGCATTAGTACGCACGCACCGCACTAGGAGCTGCTGGTGGCGAAGACGAATGCGGCTCGGGCGGAAAATCGGGTTGCGAACAACGCTCGAGAACACTCTTTCAGCCATCAGGCAGCTGCTCATCGGAATTGAACACACCACGCGTCAGCAAGCATGACGACGCTCCTCGCAGTTGATAATTATCATTTCTGACGCAGCAGCTGTTCCCTCGTTACCTCGTTAATAACTACAGGCAAGCAGCCTGACACTTAGGATGCATGCAGGCTGACACATGGGACGATACAAGAATGGCGCTCAAAAGAATCTAGGTAACAAATAGTAGAAGTCACAAGCAGATCCCCGTTATTGGTGGTTTTGTGAGCGGACATATTTCAGACTCATAACTAAACAATATTTCGGTGTAGATCTAGAATGGTTGGGAGGGTGAAAGACTGGGCAGGGATTGGTTTGTTCTGGTCAAAGATGAATCAGCAAGCGAAGTGCTCGAGGCATTCTGCCGAGCCTGACTACCTGACCTCGTCACCAGTGATTGGTTCGGTTTGCTTTTGGATGAGGCAGAGTGAGTGTTTGTCAGCACGACCTGGGTGTCTCCAAGGCCCAAACGAGTCTTCATAAGCATTACGCTTAGCGGCTTGCTTCCGTGCCAACTGTGCATTCACTTTCAAATTTGACACTTCAAACTAGCTCGGAGTCTGGTTCGGCCATACGTAAAATGAAGTCAGGGCCGCCGCGCCATGCAACCAGGGCAACGTTTCTGTCTTACCTGTAGGGCCCGAACCGAGTCCCTGACCTGACATCTAGGTACGACTCTCAATCACACTTGTCTACCTGCTTCAGCTTTCTCGTAAGCTATACAAACTCTGGGAACGTCGTTGCTCCCTCGAGATCCCTCTTCAGTTGCACGATTCAATAGAGCGGTAGGACCTTGCCTAGTCTAGTTTTCTTTACTAAGCAGCACGTTTACAGTCCCTCTACCGCGTGAAGTAAGGTCTGCCTATTAGCTGTTGAAGCCCAGGCGAGCAATCTAAATCTGAGTCTTTCAGGAAGCCAGATTACTTCGCGAGCATTCTTTCTTTTTCTTATCGTGTAGTTTGTTCCACCATCGTCTTTTCTCATGTTGCTTTCGTAATCTACTTTACAGCAACAGCACGATGAATCGCGGCTTTCATCAACCGCATCAAAGGCCGCCTAGAGTTCAGCGGGATGGGAGAATCGACACGACGACGCCACTCCTTGGTTCCACTGGGAATGCTGCGAACAGCACAGGCAATAACGGAACCACCGACCCTAGCTCTTGGCCGGGAGGCCAGAGCAACTTTAATCTTTCATACCAAGGAACGTCAAACCTTAATAACCCGCTAGGACTTCGAGCAAGTTCCAGTAATTTCATAGCGAATACCATGCAAGCGGCTGGACCGACAGGCGTTAGTGGCTTGGTTCCGGGAAGTTACACTTTATCCCCGTTTCTGGGTGATAGGCCTCCCGGCAGCAGCTATCAAGCCACCTCAGATGCCTTGCCCTTGCAGCATGTCCAAGCGGAACCAATTAACCAGCCTCAAATCGCTTCGTTACCAACCATGGATTCCTTTGCATTTGCAGGCCCTCCAGCAATTCCGCTAGGACAGAATATTATCCAGACAGGCTTCGGTGGTTCTAGCATGAGTTTTAATGGACTCCAGGATCCAGGAGTGGAAGGTGTTAATCCCATGGAAGGAGGTTCTGAGTTTAAACTCTATAGCGAGGATGACTCTCTGAATCAGTCTCAGCCCGGCAATAACATCTTCGAGGATGACGCTGTTTTCATGGTCAACATGTTTCTGGGAGGAGGAGGCGGTATGGATGGAGAGACTGGAGCGGGTGCTGAGGCTGCTGGTTTGGATGCTGGGATGTTTGGTTTGGCCGAGCCTCTCCTTCCAGGGTTTTCAGGGTTGGAACCAATGGAAGGGGTCACGTTCAGGTTGGACGGGCAGGGGGTTATGGATCCAGGAACGAACCAGGTTCCTTCGTTTGACTCTCATGGTAGTGGCCAACTACAGTTTTCAGCATTTTATGAGAAACCGATACATTCTATAACGGGAGCCGGCGAGACATGGGAACAGAATGTAGGTTTAAGGGGTCACGTGGAACGGAGGGAAGGTGGAAGGGATGCGATGGAGGAGACACGGCAGCATTATGGGCAGCAGAAGCGAGAGCAAGAAGAACGGGAGCAACAAAGGAAGCTGGAACAGGAGAGGGAGTTGGAGAAGCAGAGGGAGTTGGAGAATCAGAAGCAGCAGAGGAAGTTGGAGCAGCAGAGGGAGCTGGAGAAACAGAGGCAACTGGAGCTTGAGAAACAGGAGAAGCAGAGGAAGTTGGATGAGCAGAGGGAGCTTGAGAAACAGAGGCAGCGGGAGTTGGAGAAACAGCGGCTGGAGAGACAGGAGCAGCAGAGGGAGCTAGAGAGACAAAGGCTGAAGGATTTGGAGACACAGCGGCAATTGGAACTGGAGAAAAGGCAGCTGCAGAGGAAGCTGGAGCAGCAGAGGGAGCTGGAGCGGCAGAGGGTGTTGGTGGAAGAGAGGCAGAAGGAGTTGGAGAATCAGAGGCAGAAGGAGTTGGAGAAACAGAGGCAGTTGGAGTTGGAGAAACAGGAGCAGCAAAGGAAGCTGGAGCAGCAGAGGGACATGGAGCAACAGAGGGTGTTGGAGGAACAGCGGCAGAGGGAGTTGGAGAAACAGCGGCAGAGGGAGTTGGAGAAACAAGAGCAGCAGAGGAAGCTGGAGCAGCAAAGGGTGTTGGAGGAACAGAGGCAAAGGGAGTTGGAGAAACAGCGGCAATTGGAGATTGAGAAACAGGAGCAGCAGAGGAAACTGGAGCAGCAGCGAGTGTTGGAGGAACAGAGGCGAAGGGAGTTGGAAAAACAGGAGCAGGAGAGGAAGCTGGAGCAGCAGAGGGAGCTGGAGAAGCGGAGGCAGAGGGAGTTAGAGAAACAACGGCAAATGGAGCTGGGGAAGCAGGAACAGATGAGAAAGCTGGAGCAGCAGAGGGAGCTAGAGAAACAGAGGCAGAGGGAGCTGGAGAGACAGCAGCAACTGGAGCTGGAGAAACAGGAGCAAGAGAGGAAGCTGGAGCAGCAAATGCAGTTGGAGAAACAGAGGCTGCGGGAGTTGGAGCAGCAGAGGGAGCTAGAGAAACAAAGGCAGAGGGAATTGGAGAGACAGCAGCAATTGGAGCTGGAGATACAGGAGCAGGAGAGGAAGCTGGAGCAGCAAAAGCAGTTGGAGGAACAGAGGCAGAGGGAGATGGAGCAGCAGAGAGAGCTAGAGAAACAAAGGCAGAAGGAGTTGGAGAAACAGCAGCATTTGGAACTGGAAAAACAGGAACAGCGGCGAAAGCAGGAGCAACAGATGGAGCTTGAGAAACAGGAGGAGCAGAGGGATTCAGAAAATCAAAGTAAAGAGGTGCTTGAGGTGAGAGCGGAAGAGGGGTTTGATAAAGCGGTGAGAGAAGAGAAAGCTACTGACTTGGGAAGGGAGGAGTATGGTGGGGATGAGGAGGAGTGCCCTGACGAGAGCAGTGAGCATGGGGAGGGTAAGGCGAAGATGAAGCTTCTGACTGCTCTTGACAAGGAACAACCGGTGCCACTGTCTCGGCAGGAAGAAACGGAGGAAGCAAACGCGAAGGGAGCTGGGAAGGGGTTTACGCATGAGGAGAAGAAGGTTGGGGTTATGTCTGGTACACTGCAGCGTCCAGAGGAGGAGGAACAGGTGGAAGAAGAGGAAGAGGAGGAGGAAGAGGAGGAAGAAGAGGAGGAAGAGGAGGAGGATGATATTGAGGACTGGGTGTGTGGCACGGAAAATAGGTATCGGAGATTGAGTGCAGATGAGAAGAAGTGGAAGCAGCAGCAGGGTAGGGATGGCGAGAGTGGGGCAAGGAGGGGCAAGAGAGAGGCGGTTCGGGGCGAGGAAGGAGAGGGGAGGAGGAAGAAGACTAAGAGAAGGAAGCTGGCGGACTGGTTGCCAACGCAGATAGTGACGGGTGGGGAGCAGGAGAGGGGAAAGGTAGATGAGGGTGGTAGTGACGCGCGTCAGCCTAGCAACGTGGAAGTGGGAGAGCAGTCTGCTGGTGAGGTGCGTGGAGCACACCAGGGTGAAGCCGCCCTGAGGGACGAAGGACACGAGATGCACAAACAGGCAGAAGAGGTAGCAGAGAATGCTGCTGGGGCGTTGGAGTCAGCTGCTGAGGAGCACAAGGTCAGGGAGGTGGGAGAGTTTTCAGATTCTGCTTTTGCGGCTCCTCTGAAGGAGCAGGGGGGCGCGGTAGAGGAGTGTGCTGCTGAGAAGCACGAGGAGTCACTTTTTGAGGAGCATAAGGAGGGGCGGATGGGAACAGTAGAGGCGGATGCGATCCAAACTTGTAAGGTGAGGGAAGAAGCAGAGGTGACGGTGGAAGATAAACAAGGAGAAGAGGAGAAGGGACGAGGAGAGAAGGAGGTGGAGGGGAAGGTGGAGTTGGATGCGTCTGGGGAAGAGAAGAACGCTATTTCTCTAATGCTGCAGCAGGAGGAGGGGCAGCAGGAGCAGGAAGAGCAGGAGGAGCAGGAGGAGCAGGAGGAGCAGGAGGAACAGCAACAGCAGCAACAGCGGGAGGAGGAGGAGGAGAAACTGCAGCAGAAGCAAGAACAGGAGCGGGAGCAGGAGGAACAGCAACAGCAGCCAGAAATGGCGAAGCAGCAGCCACAGTACGAGCAGGAGAAGGAGCAGCAGCAGGAGCAACAGCAGCAGGGACAGGGTCAAGAGGAGCAGCAGCAGCAGCAGCAGGAGGAGGAGCACCAGGAGAGCGAGAAATGTGGGGAGGCAAAGGAGCGAGAGCAGGTGAGGCAAGACAAAGAGCAGGAGCAGAGGACACAAAAATTCGGGGAGGAAGGGGAGATGGAAATTCATGGCACACCTGCTGCTGGCGCTGCTGCTGCTGCTGCTGGTGCTGCTGCTGCTGGTGCTGCTGCTGCTGCTGCTGCTGGTGCTGCTGCTGGTGCTGCTGCTGCTGCTGCTGGTGCTGCTGCTGATGCTGCTGCTGCTGGTGGTGCTGCTGCTGGTGCTGCTGCTGCTGCGGAGGCAGACGGTGTTTCTGCAGCACAGTCTGCGGCAGCAGTGGACAAGAAGCGGAAGCACAGTGAAGCGTTTGTGGAGGCTGATGAAGAAGCTGCTGCTGTTGACAAGTCCTGTATTGCTCCCGAACTGTCTGCTGCTGTTTATCCATCTGCTGCCCCTGAACCCTCTGCTGCCCCTGAACCATCTACTGCCCCTGAACCCTCTGCTGCCCCGGAGCCATCTGCTTCCCCTGAGGCATCTACTGTGCTTGAGATGTCATGTGGTGCTGGTGATCCATCTGTTGTTCGTGAGGCATCTTCTCCTTTCGAACCCTCTGCTGCCCCTGAGCCATCTGCTCCTGAGCCATGTGCTGAGGACGAGGGCACTGAGGGAAGGGAGGAGAGTGAAAGGGAGGTTGGAGGGATGGTAGGGAACGACAAGGAGAGGACGAGAGTGGGAGGCAGTGAAGTGAAGGTGAGGGAAGAGGAAAGGAGAGAGGAGGAGAGAAGAGAGGAGGAGAGAAGAGAGGAGGAGAGGGAGGAGGGAAAGGAAGAAGAGGGGAGAGAAGAGAATGGGAGGGCAGAGGAAGGAAGAGAATTGGAGGCGAGAACTGAGGAAGGGAGCCAAGAGGAGGGGAGGGATGAGGAAGGGAGAGAAGAGGAGGGAGGTGAAGAGGAGGGGAGAGACGAGGGAAACGACGAGGAAGTGGGAGAAGAGGAGGAGAGAAGAAATGAGGAGGTAAGAGAAGTGGAGTGGAGAGAGGAGGGAAGGGAACTGGTGCCGGGGGCGAGAGTGTACAGGAGAAAGGCTAAAGGGGAGATGGGCAGGCTAGCCGGACGTGCCAGGAGGAGCAGAGAGGCAGACACAACGGGAGAGTGGGAGAGGAGGGAGAGGAGGGAGAGGAGGGTGGAGATGGTGGGAAAGAGAGACCGTGAGGGGAGGGAGAATGGACAGGAGATGAAAGAATCTGCAGCAGCAGCAGAAGCGCAAGCTCCCCCAGTAGTGGTGAGCACAGTCAAGCCGCCCTCAGCACAGCCTTCACCAGTACTACCTCCCCCTCTGGACGGACCTGCTGGTTTGTCTCTTGTCCTGGCCCTGTCTGCTCTGGATGTGGTTCTGGGGAAGGGGCGGGCGGGGGGGGCGAGAGAACAGGGGGAGAAAGCCGGGAGGGGCATTCAGGTGGGGGATACTGGGCGGAGCGGGAGGAGTAGGAGGGGTGGGAGGAGTGGGAAGAAGGAGAAGGGGAGGAGGCATGAGCGGGGTGGGGTGAAGGAGCAGGGAGCAAGAAGTGAACGGGCGGCACGGAGTAGGCGTGGAGGGAAAAGGAGGACGAGGGCGCAGGAGGAGGAGGAAGGGGAGGAGGACGACGAGGAGGAGGAAGAGGAGGAGGAGGAGGAGGAGGGGGATGAGGAGGAGGGGGATGAGGAGGAAGGGAATGAGGAGAAGGAGAAGACTGCAGACGGGGAGGGGGGTGAAGTAGAGAAATGTGCTGAATCTGAGGGAGGGGGTGAGGTAGAGAAGGGGGTTGCATCAGAGAAGGGGGTCGAAGCAAATAAGGAAGGGATTGAAGAAGAGGAGGAGGGGGGTGAGGCAGGAAAGGAGGCAGAAAAGGCAGAGGAGGAGGCTGTTAGTGACTTGGCTGAAAGGGGTGGGATGGCCACTGCTAAACTGCCAGGAAACCACATTACTGACGCTGAAATGGCTGCTGGAGTTCCAGCGTCTGTGGATTCTGCAAGGGATACTGCGGACGAGACCAAGGAAGGAGGGAAAGGCAGCGGTGGTGAGGAGCGAGGGAAGGAGGAACGGGATGTGGAGGGAGTTGTGGTTAGGGATGGGAGTGAGGGGTGGGCTGAGGGGCGTGGCGAGGAGGAGGGTCCTAAGGATGCAGCAGGGGTGGACGAGGTGCAAGAGGAGGGGGTGAAAGAGGTGGTGCCAGAGGAAGGGGTGGAAGAGAAAGATGTGAAAGAGGAGGAGGTGAAAGAGGAGGAGGTGGAGGAGGAGGAGGTGGAGGAGGAGAAAAAGGAGGTACAAGAGGAGGTGGAAAAGGAGGTGGAGGAGAAACAGGTGCAAGAGGAGGAGGTTGTAGAGGAGGTGAAAGAGGAGCAGGAGGAGGTGCAAGAGTGGGAGCATGGAAGGAAGAAGAGAAGGATAAGGCACAGGGGGAGAGGTGTGGAGGAGGAGAGAGGAGAGAAGAATGAGGCAGAGGAAGAGGAAGTGGGAGATAAAAGGGAAGAAAGGGACGGGGACGAGGAAGGGAAACAGGAAGGTGATGTGGAAGAGAAAGCGGAAGAAAATAGGGAAGGGGAAGAGAAAGAACAAGAGGAAGAGAAAGAGGAAGTTAAAGGGGAAATGGGAGAGGAAGAGTCGAGGAGGGAAACTGCCATTGAGGAGACTCGAGTGACCGAGGGAGATAAGGCAGGAGTGGGCGAAGGGAGAGTTGTCAGTGAGGGCATGGCTGGGAAGGGATCGGGTAGTGCAAAGGTGGATAGTGAGGTGGATATGACGGTGGGTGGAAAGGTGGGTGGAGATGCGGTAGAGGTAGAGGCAGGTTTAGAGGAGACTGGTGAGGAAGCGGATGTTGTGGGAGTGGGAGCAGACGAAGTGGGAGCAGGGGTGGAGGAGGAGGTTGGGTTGCAAGATGCAATAACAGAGGCAGTAGAGTTGGCTGGGGAAGAAACGGCACAAGGGGAAGGTGAGGAAGCGGATGTTGTGGAAGTGCAGACAGAGGGAGTGGGAGCAGGGGTGGAGGAGGAGGCTGGGTTGCAAGACGCAAGAAGAGAGGCAGTGAATGTGGCAGGACTGGGAGAGGAAGGAACGGCACAAGGGGCAGGTGAGGAAGCAGATGTGGTGGAAGTAAAGACAGAGGGGCCGGAATCTGGGGTGCAGGAACGTGGGCTGTGGGAATCGAGAAGAGAAGCAGAACCATCAGGAGAGCCATCAGCAGGTTCAGGTGAAGAAGAAGCAGCGGGAGGGGCGGGCGAAGGGGAAGCAGCGGGAGGGGCGGGTGAAGAAGAAGCAGCGGGAGGGGCAAGTGAAAGAGATGCAGCGGGAGGGGCAGATGAAATAGATGGAGCAGGAGAGGCAGATGAGGAAGCCGACGTGGTGGAGGTGCGTTCGGAGGGAAGAGAGGCAAGAGAGGCGCAAGGTGGGGAGGTGGCCTTGACTGAAGCAGTGATGGCGGAACAAGGGGCGGGATCGGGAGAGGCAGAGGTGCAGGAATTGGGGCTGGAGTCTACAGACGCAATGAGAGGAGCAGCTGAGTCGGGTGAAGAGGTTGCAGAGGAAGAGAGATGCGGGGATGCTGATGTGGTGGAAGTGCGTTTGAAGGGAAGAGAGGGTGAGGGAGGGGAGGTGGACATGACTATGAAGGGGGCAGCTGAGTCGGGTGAAGAGGTTGCAGAGGAAGAGAGAGGCGGGGATGCTGATGTGGTGGAAGTGCGTGAAAAAACTGAGAGAGATGAGGGGATGGAATCACAAGAAGCAGATGGGCAGGAGGTGGAAGCAGGGTCAACAGAAGCAGAGGCTGCAGCAGCAGCAGCAGCAGGAGAGGCAATAGCAGAAGGGGCAGAAAGAGCAGGCGATGGGGGTGGGGCAGTAGCAGAGAGAGCGGGGAAGAGGAGGAGAATTCGGCCCTTGATGAGGCGAGTACAGTCTGTCACAGATGCTGCTGCTACAGCAGTGCAGGCAGGGCCTAAGGGTGTGGCTGCTGCTGCTAGGGATATGCACGTGGCCCCACAGGCTGTGGGTGCTGCTGAATCTCAATCTGATGGGGGTGATGGTACTGTGGATCGTGGTGCTCGTGATTTGTCCAGTGATGGTGGGCACGTGGCAAGAGATTCTTCTCCCCCTCGTCATGGTCATAAAGCGCATGCTTCGACCGATGATATGGATGGTGATGGTGGTGATGGTGGTGATGGTGGTGCTGGTGGTGCTGGTGGTGCTGGTGGTGCTGGTGGTGCTGGTGGTGCTGGTGGTACTGGTGGTACTGGTGGTACTGGTGGTACTGGTGGTACTGGTGGTACTGGTGGTGCTGGTGGTACTGGTGAGGATAGGCGTGATGCTTCAGTGGCTGCTGCATCCTGCCATGCTCCAGCTGGATCCGATTCAACGGATGCACATGGTGTTGGTAGTGATGGTTTTGATAGTGGTGGTGGTGGTGGTGGTAGTGAAGCAGCTACTGAGACTGATACCCCAGTGGCTCTGTCGCCGTCCCCATCCCTCTCCCCCCCTCCTTCCCCAACGCCATCAACATCACCGGTAGAATCGCTCTTAGAATCAAAATCCGCGTCTGCATCAGCATCAGCATCACCATCAGTATCAGCGTCTCGGTCCCAATCACCACCCCACATTCGCCCAGCCAGAGCGCGGAAACCAAATGCTTCAGCAAGAGTTTCTGAGTCGAGTCAAGCAACACCCTCACGGTCCCCATCACCACCTCACATTCGCCCAGCCAGAGCACGGAAATTGAAGGCAGCAGCAAAAGCAGAAGCAGAAGCAGGGGAAGCAGCAGGAGCTGTGTCAGCAGCAGTAGTGAGGAAAGCAGCAGCGGAGCGCACAGGACCACTTGAACCCACCGAAACACCAATCTCTGTATCAGTCTCAGAACCAAAACCTGAACCAGGCACGCCCATGCATCTCTCCCCGAGGCTAAAGCCGCTGCTATTCTGCCTGGGGAGCTTCGAAGCAGGCGACATAGTGTGGGCCAAGTCAGGGCGCAAGAAAGACCCCTGGTGGCCGGCCCAGGTGGTAGACCCGATTTACGATGCCCCTGCTGCTGTCAGGAGCGCCGCTGAAGCCGACCGGCTGTGTGTCATGTTCTTTGGGCCATCGCTTAGCAAAAAACGCGACCGGGACTACTCGTGGGTGCCTGAGGGGAGCATTGTGCCGTTTTTGGACTTTCTAGTTAAGTATGAGAATCAGCCGCTGACTGCAAGGAATAGGCCGAAGGAGTTTCGGAAGGCTGTGGAGGAGGCAGTGTTGGAGAGTGAAGGAATGGTGGGGTATGAGGAGATGGAGGGAGGCGGGGGAGAGGGAGGAGAAGAGGGAGAGGGAGAGGAAGGGAGAGGTGGGGGGATGGGGGATGGTGAGGAGGATTGGCAGGAGAGGGATAAGTTTGGCACAAGTGCTGCCGCTGCTGCTGATGGTGCTGCTGCTGCTGCTGGTGCGGCTACTGCTGCTGTTCCCCTTGCTGGTGCTGCTCCTGGTAGCCGGAAAGGGGGCGGGCGGTCAGGTGGGTTGGTGGGGGCAGCGAAGGGAGGGGCAACCGCAGCTGAGTTAGCAGGTGCAGCAGCAGGAGCGGGAGAGTGCATGATGTGTGTGGGATGCCGGGTCATGCCTGGTGTTATTGGCCGCCCCACTCGCACACTGGATGATCTCTTTTCGCCAGGAGGGGGTGGGGGAGGGAAAGGGAGAAAGAAAGGGGAGGGCAGTGGAGGGGATTCGTCTGGAGAGAGTGACTGGGATGAGGGCTTGGGGAAGAAGCGGAGGAGGGGGAGGGGCGGCAGTGGTGGCAGTAGCAGGAAGAGACAGATGGTGGGGAGCAGGGAGGGTGGGGATGAATGGGAGGAGAAGGAGACTGGGGTGGAGGAAGGGGGGAGGAGGAGCTGTGGGAGGGGGAGAGCAAGGGGGAGGAGCAGGGGAAGGGGGAGGCCGGAGAAGGGGAGGAATGGCGGGTGGGTGTGGGGGATGAGTAAGAAGCGGAGCAGGAGCATGGGAGCGGGCCGACAGGGCAAAGCAGGTCAGGGTGTCAAGAGAGGTGGTAGGTCTGCCACTGGTGCAGCAGCAGACAGTGCCGCTGCTGACAGCGATGGGGACAGTGCTCATGACAGTGCTGGTGCTGCCTGTGCGGGTGCCCATACCACTGGCACACGTGCTGCTGGTGGCTCTGCTGCTCGTGCCAATGCTGGTGCGGCAGGTGACACGCTAGAAGAAAGAGCAGGCAGCAGCTACGCCCACAGGCTAGTAGACGAATTACTGGACTCAGTCCCGCTCTGCATCCAGTGCCGAAAGCTCTTCCAATCGCACCAGTTCTGCCCACTCTGCCTTCTCGTGTGGTTACCCAACGAGAAGGGAGATTTCGCCCACTGTGACTGCTGCCAGCTGTGGGTCCACGCGGAGTGCGACGGGATCTCTAGGCAGCGGTTGAGTGCGATTAAGAACGATGCGGTGTATTTGTGCCCAAATTGCCGGCAGGCTAAGGCGGTGGAGGAGAGGGAGAAGAGGGAGAGGAGGGAGAGGAGGGGGAGGGAGAAGAAGGAGAGGGAGCAGAGGGAGGAGAGGGAGAGGAAGGAGCGGGAGGAGAGGGAGAAGAGGGCTAAGGAGGCGGCGCAGGCTGCTGCTCAGGCCACTGCTTCTGCCGCTGCTGCTCGGTTGAAGGAGGAGGGGAGAGATGGTGAGAGGGAGCCATGGGGACGGTCTGGGATGGAGGTGATAACAGGGATTGGGAGGGAGTTCAGCCTGGGTGGTGCGCACTTGCGGATCGACGAGGTGAAACGGGAGGGGTTGCTTGTTTGTCGCCTCGACAGGGATAGGAGTGGGGATCGGGATCAGAATGGGGATGAGGATGAGGAAGATGAGAATAGGGATGAGGGTGAGGGTGGGGGTGGGGATGGGTCAGATGATGGTGGTAGGCAGGGGCAGAAAGGAGGAGGTGGTAGAGGTAGAGTGAAGGAAGAATGGGATGAAGAGTCGGTGGAGAAGAAGGGAGACGCGGATGGGAATGGATTCTTGGCCACTAAGGAGGCACCTCACAGAGCTGATTCCCCACAATCTGATTCACCTGAGGATTCACCTGAAGATTCACCTGGTACTCCATCCTCCTCACCTGAGGCAGAAGCGGAAGGGGACAACAAGATAGCAGCGGCTCCACCCATACCTGTAGCCCACCCGCCAGTCCCCGTCACATGCGCGTCCTACAAGGGCGTCTACCTCCCTTCGCGTCACCTCGTGCAGTGCTGCTGCCGCTCCTGCCGACCCAAGGCCAAGGGCGGCAGCAGCAAGAGCAGCGCCGTTAGCACTGCTGCTGCGGCGGCGGCTGGTGGGGGGGAGGTTGACAGTGGGAGAGCGGGGGGAGCAGGGGGAGCGCTGATGGCGCTGAGTGAGTTTGAGAAGCATGCGCAGTGCCGGTCCAAGAAGTGGAAATCGTCTGTGTTGCTGCAGGGCGCTGAGAAAAAAACCACCCTCTTTGCCTGGGTAAGCGATTTGTATACATTTCTGCTGAATACTTCTGCTGAATACTTCTGCTGAATACTTCTGCTGAATACTTCTGCTGAATACTTCTGCTGAATACTTCTGCTGCATGCTTGAGAGCGGGGCCTTGATTTCGACCTGGCATTATCCTCCTCACTCCCTCCCTCATTCCACTCGTTTACCTCACGCCTCCCTCCTTCTCCACCCTCGCTTTCCTTTTCTTTCCCCGCAGCTACAGGCATCTCACGAGGCGGGGGTGAGAGGCGTCACTTTCTACAGGGACCCTCCCCCTCACCTCCTCCCTATCCTTGCTGTTCCCCCTCGTCCCTTCTCCTCCCCTCAGCTCCAGGCATCCCACGAGGTGGGCGTGAGAGGCCTCTTGTTCTACAAGGGCTCTCCCCCTCTTCTTGCTGTTTCCCCTCCCCCGTCTCTCCATCCTCAATCCCCCCATCCCCCCACACCCATCTCACTTCCCATACTGCAGCTCCAGGCATCCCACGAGGCGGGCGTGAGAGGCCTCTTGTTCTACGAGGACCCTCCGCCTCTCCTCCTCCCTCTCCTTGGTTCGTTTCCCCTCCTCCAACACTCCCCCCCACCCCGCCCCCCACAGCTCCAGGCATCCCACGAGGCGGGCGTTAGAGGCCTCTTGTTCTACGAGGACCCTCCGCCTCTCCTCCTCCCTCTCCTTGGTTCGTTTCCCCTCCTCCAACACTCCCCCCCACCCCGCCCCCCACAGCTCCAGGCATCCCACGAGGCGGGCGTGAGAGGCCTCTTGTTCTACGAGGACCCTCCGCCTCTCCTCCTCCCTCTCCTTCGTTCGTTTCCCCTCCTCCAACACTCCCCCCCACCCCGCCCCCCACAGATCCAGGCATCCCACGAGGCGGGCGTGAGAGGCCTCTTGTTCTACGAGGACCCTCCCGCTCACCTTGCTGAATACCCTCTCCCTCCCCGTTTCCTCACCCTCCCACCCACCTCCCCTCCCCTCAGCTCCAGGCATCTCACGAGGCGGGCGTGAGAGGCCTCTTGTTCTACGAGGACCCTCCACCCCGCAGCCGCCCGGGGAACCGGCAGCAGGGAATCATATCCACACTGCGCAGTGCGGGCGGCAGCAGCGCGGTCGCAGGTGCAATCGGAGGAGTGGGAATGGGTGCAATCAGAGGCAGAGCCGGTGCAAAGGCCTTAACGGATCCGCGGGGAGGGGTGGCGTGGCTGGAAAAGGCTTTAAGTGAGCCGTACGAGGGGGTAGAATACAAATGGACGTCGGAGCGGTGTGCTGTGTGCAACAGTGATGAAGACTCGGATGCGAGTCGCATGCTCGTGTGTGTCAAGTGCGAGATGGGCGTGCATGAGGAGTGTTATGGGATCGAACCCTTCCCGGGGTCGCCAGGTAGAGCCGCTGGTGCTGCTGGTGCCGGTGGTGCTGGTGCAGGTGGTGGTGGTGCTGACACGGATGCTGGTGATGCTGCTGCAGGAAAACCATCGCTTTCCTCTGCTGCGTTTGGCATGTCGTGGCTCTGCCGCTGCTGCGCCCGCTCCTCGAACCCCACCTCTGATCCCAGCATTCCCAGCAATACCAGCAACCACATGGTTGCTAGTGGGAAGGCAGAGGCTGACACAGATCCACTCACAGCAGCGGGCGGCAAAGGCAAGGCCAAGGGCAAGAGCAAGGGCAAGGGAAAAGGCTCTGATACCATGGCGCTAGTGAGTTCGGGTAACACAGGAGTGGGAGGGGGATCCGTTGCAGGGTTGAGCAGAGGAAGAGGCTTGGGCACAGGAGAAACCAGAGCAGGGGCGGAAGAGCAGGGGATGGAGGAGGAGGAGGCGGAGATTCGGAGGGAGTGCTGTCTATGTCCTGTGCGGGGCGGGGCTTTAAAGCCCACGACCATCAGGCTCGCCCTTCCCGGGAACAGCAGAAGCAAGGGAGAGGCGCCCTGGAGAAAAACAGCAGCAGCTGGCGGTACAGCCGCCGCTGCAGCTGCTGCCGCCGCCGCTGCGGCTGCTGCTGCTGCAGCAGCAGTGGTTGGGGGCAGGGGTGGTCGAGGAGTAGTGTTTGGGGGAGTGGGGTTGGGAGGAGGAGCGGGTGCGGGAGGGGGAGGGGGTGGGGAGGGATTAATTGCACGGCAGCGATGGGCGCATCTGGTGTGTGGGTTGTGGATGCCGGGCGTGAGTGTGCTGGGGGAGGGCGAGGGAGAGGTGCTGGACGGCATTCAGCTCGTGGATCCAGAGCGGTTCAAGCTGGTGAGAAGCGGTGACAGCTGGTTAAACGTAGTGTTGCCCGTTTCTATGGTGATGCTGTCTGGTGGTGGTGGTGGTGATGCTGACGATGCTTGTGTCTCCCCGTTTTGCTCCCGCATTGCCCGACTGTTGCCCGACCGCACACCCATCCCTCTCAGGCGTGTTGCATCTGCCGCCAGCCTATTTTTTAGTCGACTCAAAAATACTGTTCCCCCTGCCCCCTCCTCAGGCGTGCTGCATCTGCCGCCAGCCGTACGGGGCGTGCATTCAGTGCGACGGCCCGCGCTGTCTGGTGGCATACCACGTGGTGTGTGCGATGAAGGCACTCGTTCCCCCACCCTTTCCACACCCCTCCCATCCCCCCCAGGCGTGCTGCATCTGCCGCCAGCCATACGGCGCGTGCATTCAGTGCGACGGGCCGCGGTGCCTGGTGGCATACCACGTGGTATGTGCGATGAAGGCGGGGTGGATCATGGATGTGGTTCCTGATGACACAGGCCAGCTGCTGCGCTGCACCTTCTGCCCCAAACACAGGTACGTATGGCACTTTTTTTCTTCTCGTGATGCCAGTGCGCCTGCCATAGGGGTGGGCACTCTCAAGTGTGACTCTCTCAGTCTCCGTCCCCTCCCTTGCACCCCCTCACGCCCGTTCCCGTCCCCCTCCCCTTCCCCCCACCACCCAAACTCCGCTCTATTCACAGGGATCCGAATCCTGACCTTGCTGTGATTGGCCCTGCTGCCCTTGCGGCCGGCAAGAGGCTGATTGAGCGAGGGGGGAGGCTGAGGAAACGCACTGGCATCACTGGGTTTCCTGCCATAGGCGCGGGCACTCTCAAGAGTGACTCCCTCAAACCGGATGGGGAGAAGGACAGAGAGGGGAAAGAGAGCAGGGATGGCAAGGATGGGAGGGAGGGGAGAAAGGAGGGAGAGGGGAAGAGAGGGGGTGTGGAGAAGGGGAAAGGGAGGGGGAGGGAGGGTGAGTTGGAGGGCGAGGAATGGGGCGAGGAGGAGAGGGGTGAGAAGGTCAAGAGGCGGAAGGGGAGTGGAAAGATGAAGGGAACAAGATGTGGTGATGGTGCTGTGGGAGTTAAAGATGGTGGTGAGAATGGTGTTGGTTCGAACGCGAGTAGTGATGTGATTCTAATGGGTGAGGAGGAGGGAGACGGAGACGAGGAGGAGGTGAGAGTGGGGGATGGTAGTGGTGGAGAAGTGAGAGGAGGGGTGGAGGGTGGGGAAGAAACGCGAGGGGACCAGGATAGTGAAGAGGCAAGAAGTGGCGAGGGTGGAGATGGGTTGAGAGTGGGACAGAGTGGTGGTGAGGTGTCAAGGGAAGAGCTTGGTGGAACCTCGGGCAAGAATCAAGGAGGGAGGAAAACAGACCGAGGGGAGGGTGCTGATGGTGTTGAAGCTAAGGAGGAGCAAGGGAAGGAGGGGGGGCAGGAGGGGGAGGAGGAAGAAGAGGACGAGGGGTCTGAGAGCGATGTGATGCTGCTTCCCAGTCCTGAATCATCTGAAGATGACACTCATGCAGGGGCGAGAGAGGCTGGGCCTCCAGGAGAGCGGGCGGGGACAGCAGCAGCAGGAGGAGGAGGAAGAGGAGGAGGATGTGGGGATGAAATGGAGGGTGTGCTGTCGCGCTGCCAGCCGTACCAAGGGCGGAACAGCCGGATGCGATGGTGGGGAGGAGAGGAGAGGGCGGAGGAATGTGCAGAGAGCGTGGGACTCGTGAAAATAGATGGCACAGCGGATGGCGGTGTAGAGGGGAGGAGGGAGGAGGGGATGGAGAGGAGGGGGGAAGAGGGGGAGGTGGGAGCGAGTGAGCGAGTGCGGAGGGTGTGGGGGCGGGGGCACAAGGAGGTGGTGCCGTATCTGCTTGGGGGGGTGTGCTGGCACGACAGAGAGACCATCATGGATTTGCGGGTGAGTGCGGTGCTGAAGGGTGCTGTGCGGTGCTGAGGGCTGCTGTGGTGTTGAAAGCTGCTGTGTTGTTGAAAACAACTGTGGTGGTACGGGCTGCTATTGTGACAGGCTAGCTAAACTCGCACAAATCTGCATATGATGGACTGTTTTTCTCCAACATTGATTTTTCTCCAACTACATTCTCCATTGTTTTTTCTCCAACTACATTCTCCATTGATTTTTCTCCAACTACAGTTTCCATTTGCAAAAACTGCCCACCACAATATGCTTTGTGCCCCTCTCTACATGCGTGTCACCCCTCAGACCCCAGAGAAACGGCCTTTTTACCCCAGAGAAACGGCCTTTTTTTTTTCAAGTTAACTCAAGAATGTCACATGTTTCCCTCTCCTCGTGCGTGTCACCACCCCTCAGACGCCAGAGGAGGCACCTGTGGCCACGTCTAGAGCCGAGCGCATGAAAGTTGTGCGGGTGAGTGAGACACACACGGGGGGAAGGGTAAGGGGTAGTGCACGGTGGAAGGGGCAAGGGGCAAGGGAAAAAGGGTGTTTCTAAGCGCATCAAAATCTGACTCCAGAGGAACCACCTGTGGCCACGTCTCGAGCTGAGCGCATGAAAGTCTTGCGGGTGAGTGAGACACACACGGGCAGTAGGAAGGGGCACGGGGTGAGGGCTGAAGGGCAAGGGGCGAGTGGGAAGGGGCAACCAGCGAACGGCGAGGGGCAAGGCAGCGAATCTTCCCTTGCCTCCCCTTGCTGTCTGTTGCCTCGTCTGACTGATTATGTGTCTGTGCTTCTCTTCTTTGTTCTTCTCTTCTCTATTCTTCTCTTCTCTGTGCGGCTCTGCCTTGTCTGTCCCCCCTACAGGCGACGGCGTGGCAGCGAGTCACAATTACGACTGGGGAGGCGACTGGTGGCGATGCAAGACATAATTTAACGTCGCATCCCCCTTGTCACTTTGCCTCCCCTTGCCTTCCCTTGCCTCCCCTTGCCTTCCCTTGCCTCGCCTTGCCTCGCCTTGCCTCGCCTGTGCCTCTTGGCTCTGCTCTGCCCCTTGCAGGCGACGGCATGGCAGAGAGTCACGTTTGGGCGGTCAGCCATCCATGACTGGGGGCTGGTGGCCAGGCGACACATAGAGGAGGGCGAGATGGTGAGTGCGAGTGTGTGGGTGTGAGTGGGTGTGAGTGGGTGTGAGTGGGTTTGAGTGGGTGTGAGTGGGTGTGAGTGGGTGTGAGTGGGTATGAGTGGGTGTGAATGGGTGTGAGTGGGTTTGAGTGGGTGTGAGTGGGTGTGAGTGGGTTTGAGTGGGTGTGAATGGGTGTGAGTGGGTGTGAATGGGTGTGAGTGGGTGTGAATGGGTGTGAGTGGGTGTGAGTGGGTGTGAGTGGGTGTGAGTGGGTGTGAATGGGTGTAAGTGGGTGTGAGTGGGTGTGAGTGGGTGTGAGTGGGTGTGGGTGGGTGTGAGTGGGTGTGAGTGGGTGTGAATGGGTGTGAGTGGGTGTGAGTGGGTGTGCTCCTGGTGCTTCATGACCGTCCATACTCGTTGCCGCCATCCACGACTGGGGGCTGGTGGCAAGGAGAGACATAGAGGAGGGCGGATGGAGGGCGAGATGGTGCGTAATTGGCAGCTGTGTGGGAGGGTGTGAGTGAGTGTGGGAGGGGGGATGTGTGTGAGTGGGTCTCTGTCTCTGTGTGTAGGGGGGTGTGGGTGTATGCGTGTGCAGGGGTGGCCGTGGGTGTGTGTGTGTGGGTAAGTGTGTGAGTGTGGGTGAGTGTGTGAGTGTGGGTGAGTGTGTGAGTAAGGTTGGGTGTGTGAGTGTGGGTGAGTGTGGGTGAGTGTGTGAGTATGGTTGGGTGTGTGAGTGTGGGTGAGTGTGTGAGCGTGGGTGAGTGTGTGAGTATGGTTGGGTGTGTGAGTGTCGGTGAGTGTGTGAGCGTGGGTGAGTGTGTGAGTATGGTTGGGTGTGTGAGTGTGGACAATCACTCAAACATCCGCGAACCCTTACAAGCCGGAAGGAGGCTGGCAATCTCAGGAATCGCAAGAGTCTCTTTCACTGTTTCCATTGTGACTGTATCAGGTGGTGGACTATCGAGGGGAGGCGCTGAGGCGGAGTGTGGCAGAGCTGAGGGAGAAGCGATACCGAGACAGAGGGGAGCTGTGCTATGTGAGTATAACGAGGGGGGAGCTGTTCTACGTGAGTATAACGAAGGGTGAGCTACGAGGTGCATATGGGGCGGGGTGCATGCAAGGCAAGTGCTCTCTGCATATTGCTGCTGTGATGTATCATGCTTGGTTCCATCCATCATATGAGTCTCATGCACGCTCCATACTCCCATGTGATGTGATTTATGCTGTTCCCCCTGCCCCTGCTCCATGGCATGTGTCCTCAGCTGTTCAAGCAAGAGATCCCTAGACTTGTCACAACTCCCATGTGATGTGCTGTGATGTGTCCCCTGTCCCCCATGCCCATGCTGCTCTGTGTGTGATGCTGAGCTGGTCAAGGTGGAGAACGAGAGAGTGGTGGTCAGTTTTCAGACTCTGATCTGTTGTGTACCCCATGCCATGCTACCGTGTGTTGTGTACCCCATGCCATGCTACCGTGTGTTGTGTACCCCATGCCATGCTGCCGTGTGTTGTGTACCCCATGCCATGCTGCCGTGTGTTGTGTACCCCATGCCATGCTGCCGTGTGTTGTGTACCCCATGCCATGCTGCCGTGTGTTGTGTACCCCATGCCATGCTGCCGTGTGTTGTGTACCCCATGCCATGCTGCCGTGTGTTGTGTACCCCATGCCATGCTGCCGTGTGTTGTGTACCCCATGCCATGCTGCCGTGTGTTGTGTACCCCATGCCATGCTGCCGTGTGTTGTGTACCCCATGCCATGCTGCCGTGTGTTGTCCATGCTGCTACCCCATGCCATGCTGCCGTGTGTTGTGTACCCCATGCCATGCTGCCGTGTGTTGTGTACCCCATGCCATGCTGCCGTGTGTTGTGTACCCCATGCCATGCTGCCGTGTGTTGTGTACCCCATGCCATGCTGCCGTGTGTTGTGTACCCCATGCCATGCTGCCGTGTGTTGTGTACCCCATGCCATGCTGCCGTGTGTTGTGTACCCCATGCCATGCTGCCGTGTGTTGTGTACCCCATGCCATGCTGCCGTGTGTTGTGTACCCCATGCCATGCTGCCGTGTGTTGTGTACCCCATGCCATGCTGCCGTGTGTTGTGTACCCCATGCCATGCTGCCGTGTGTTGTGTACCCCATGCCATGCTGCCGTGTGTTGTGTACCCCATGCCATGCTGCCGTGTGTTGTCCCCTGCAGCTGTTCAAGGTGGACGAGGAACGAGTGGTTGATGCCACCATGGCCAGCAACTACGCCAGAATGATGAACCACTCCGTACGTACCATGCTGAACCACTCACTCCGTATGTGCCATGCCATGTACTATGTCGCACCGCACAGCACAATGGGTTTGAATTCACTGTCGCTCGCTCATGCTGTTTCTCAGGTGCCCGTGCTATTTGTTTCCCATCCTTTGTCATAAACCCCTCTTCTCCCTCCGCATCCCTCATCCCCTTCATCAGTGCAACCCCAACTGCTTTGCCAAGATCTTTGACGTAGAGGACAAGAATGGCCACCCGATTGCGATCAAAACCCACCCATCCCCTTTGTGCGCCCCCCGTTCCTCTCCCCTCGCCTCCTTCAGTGCAACCCCAACTGCTTTGCCAAGATCTTTGACGTTGAGGACAAGAATGGCCACCCGAGCGCGATCATCGTCATCATTGCTCGCCGCCCAATTCGCATGGGAGAGGAGCTAACGTGAGTGTGCTGATACCGCGGTCTAAGTGGCCTGTGCTTTCACATTCCACCCTTTTTTAGTGGACTCAAACATTTTGAGTGGCTCAAAATTCGCATTAGGGGAGGAGCTAACGTGAGTATGCTGGTGCTATGCCATGGTCTGACTGTCCTGTGCTTCCACGGTCCACCACCCATGCCTCACATGCTGATGTGCCCCACACTTACACATGCATACATACTCTCGCACATGCACATGCACATACACATGCACATACACATGCACATGCACATACACATGCACATGCACACCTACACATGCATGCACACATCCACCCACCCCTGCCAAACCCCTCTGTCCGCCCTTGCAGCTACGGCTACCATTTTGACCGGGAGGAGAAGGACCGAGTGCTGTGCCGCTGCTGTGCCGCCCAGGTGACTTGTAAGTGGACTCAAAAGACACTTTTCCCTTACGCCCTTCCCCCTCCCCTCCCCCCATGCAGGTACGACTATCGGTTTGACCGGGAAGAGAAGGACCGAGTGCCGTGCCGCTGTGGTGCCGCCACCTGTCGCTCCTTCATGAACTGACTCTGCTCCGGACCAACATGCCTAGCTCACACTCACACACATACAGCATCCTGTGCTGTCTTGCGTCGGCGGATGCTCATTGGCTGATGCGATACAGCTTGTACCAGATGGCTGACACTAACAGGTGGATGCTTAACGTGCACTGTCTGACAGAAGCTAACACAGCAGGTACATCTTCAGCCTTAACACTAACAGGACGGGTGATGCAAAAACTGACTCAAGACTGACACGAACATGACACAATTTTGACTTTGCTCATATATGGTAGATACAATTTATTGGATTTGTACAGAATATACGGTACTGGTGATTTGGTACGACCCATATAACCTATTTCACTCTGATTAGCGCTAGAATCTATGTACATCGCCATGCGTCCATCCATCATTTCTCCATCCCAAAATTGGTGTAAAGATTGCGGCAAGCTTGTTCCTAGCGCATTTGTTCTGGTGGATTGCAGGGTTCAAGGAGTTATTATGCTGCAAACTTGCCTGGTGTGTCAAGGTTTGCTTTAGGAATCCTGGTCCGTTGAGGAAAACTCTGTAGAGGGAAGTTTTCGAGAGAATTTCTCCAGTGGCCAATCGGGTGATTCATCCTCTCTCGGGGGGCCTCGAATTACTCGAGTGGCCACGAAATTGGGTGATAATTACTCGAGTGGCCACGCCAGGGGATTCCTGCTCGCTTTTTTTTCACCGGCGCATTACCCTACGGGGCTTTGTAGCCCCGAAATTCCTTATTCGTGCGAGTTGTATCCCTAGGTGGTGTTCCGTTCTGTTCCGCAACTTAAAATTTCGCCAGGCTAACGGACGAGAAAGTGGCCCGCCCACTGTACAAGAAACCGACCAACAGTACATTGACCGGTCAGTTTCGGCCAAATGCGCGACCAATGAGCGCGCGGTCCATCTAATTCTGAACGAATCAGCGATCGAGCATATACCTTTTCGATCATATAATCCTATAGACCCGAAGCGAACAGCCACACCCCTAATGCACGCGCATGATTTGTAAAAAACATGCGCGGTGCATATGTTGCCATTGAGCGTCCAATCAGGCGACATCATTGAATTCCCCATCATATACCGAAATGATCGGCCATCAATTCGCGATAAACTAAATTACCGCGCGTGATTGGTTTGTTTTAATCTCAGGATATGCTTTGTCATTGAGCGTCCAATCATCCCCGTCCAAATGAAATGGCAACCATATATAAAATAGGATCGCGCACTAACAAATATTAGTGCGCATATGATTTGTCCAAGTTTGTGTGCTTATGTGCATATAAAACATACTCTTAAATCCCATACAACCACTTTCTTGAGTTCTGTTTTGGTGTTATCTCTATATAGCACAGCGATCCCCTTTCATTTAGCATGCAGTGGCAAAGGGTTATAATGCTATGCCTATAGGTCTATGGGCATGTCAGGATCTACGCATGACTAACAAGGTTTAAGTGGAACGTCTTTATGTTTAAAAGGGCGTACCAAACCAGTTTGAGCGCGTTAATTCGAACCTTTTGTGCGAGAGTATTTAGTATATGATTGGCGGGATCATATAGTAAATTGTGTTTAATAAACGCGTTCAAATATGATCGGCAATCCATAAATCTTGCGCCTGATTAGACGTGCAGTGGCAACAAATGCACCGCTCTATCTCCTGACCAATCGAGCGCGGTCGTTTTGCTGTGTCGGTTCGTTTCGGGTGAAATGCAGTACACCCTGTTTCGCGCTAGCAGAGCATCTGGTTGCAGAACATGCACCGGTTGTAGAACGTCACCACGTTTGAAATGGTCTTATCACCGACGGTACAAGCACATTCACAAGAAAGCGGTTAGCTAGGATGCTGCATGGTAAAGAACATTAACCAAGCGTTTCAAAGCGGTTGAAAAGGGTATACAGCGATAAAGGAAAATTTTGCCCCCCAGGACCACTCCGTCAGCTGGTGCGGCTTTGCCCGCAGGATTCAGCCATACGGTTTATGGCACCTGACCGCACTGTAGCAACGAATCGCGCAAGGTGAGAGGGTCGAGAAACAGGGTGTATATGATCGCGAAGTCATATGCTCGATCGCTGATTGGTTGTTAATTAGATGGACCGCGCGCTCATTGGTCGCGCATTTGGCCGAAACTGACCGGTCAATGTGCTGTTGGTCGGTTTCTTGTACAGTGGGCGGGCCATTTTCGCGTCCGTGAGCCTGGCGAAATTTTAAGGTGCGGATCATAACGGAACACCACCTAGGGATACCACTCGCACGAATAAGGAATTTCGGGGCTACAAAGCCCCATAGGGTAATGCGCCGGTGAAAAAAAAAGCGAGCAGGAATCCCCTGGCGTGGCCACTCGAGTAATTATCACCCAATTTCGTGGCCACTCGAGTAATTCGAGGCCCCCCGAGAGAGGATGAATCACCCGATTGGCCACTGGAGAAATTCTCTCGAAGTTTTCGCCAGCTTCACGATGAACCTGGCGACGTCAGCGATTCTACTCCTCCAGTCATCACCTCAAATGGAGCAGGTGCCTGAGGTGATAGGAAGGAATGCGATGCGATGCGATCCTGCGACGACCGGTCAAACCCGCATTTCCATCGCCGTCACAGCTGCGTGCGGGGGGAGGCAATCTGGCTTGACGGAGGCAGTGAAAGACGCGAGCGGGCGCATAAAGGTTTCGCGCGAGAGGGGGGGAGACGGGGGGGACGTGCAAGGAAGAGCTGGATGCGGCGGGTGAAATTCGTCAGGATGCGGGGAAGTTCGAGGGGGTGATTTCTGGGCTTCGCATCGCATCATATTGCGTAGTAACTCTTCGCCACCAGTTCGTCCTGCCCTGCTCCATCGGGCACTTTCTGGAGGACGTTCTTGCGACAATACGGAAGGTCATCGTCTGGGAGGCGCAGCAGTCAGATTTTGCAGCAGGGTCGTCGCACTTACGCAAAGAAGACAGGTCGCATGCTCGCGAGTCGCGGAGGCCTATTCTTCGCAAAGTCGTATTTTGCCAATTTATCTGCCACCCACCGACCAACCCAGTTCTTCTCCTCTTGGTTGAATGGTCTCTCGCTGGTGATTACGCAAACCGCGTGCGGGTAGGCAAGTTTGTTTTCGCGCGTCTTGTCACTCTCGTCCGTTTCGTTCCCGACGCTGGTGCGCCGCGGAGATTCGTTCCCTATCTGTTCTTCCTACCTCTCTTCGATGGCTCGTCTGACACCTCTCACGGAAGCTGCGGCGTGCCTTCCTCACACCGCCGTAGGTGCCGCTGACCAGTCCTCGCGTAGCTGTCCGTTTGTGCCCTCTTGCGGTCTACCCGCCCATGACGAGTCGCTTCGTCGTATGCGACACACTAGTAACACCGACAGGAGCAGTACCCTACTGCTACTAGGACCACTCAATAGTAGTAGGTCTATAAAACGATCATTGAAGCCACAGTTTTCTCATCACTTCTTCTCAAGCCTCATCAACGTCTGACTCAACCCAAGTCTAATAATCGTCCTTATTCCTGACTAAGATCGAGTTATAGAACTTTCAGCACCGCTCCTTTGCATCTCGTCCGTCCAAAAATGACAACTACGACGGCTCTTCGCCACGTTCTCTCCGCGTCACTGCTGGCGTTCCTCGTCGTCGCCTGTAAGCTCCGCCTCGATTATCCGTTATGATTTGGCGTTTGAGTCACGTCACTAATGCATGCACGCGAAGCACGGCATTCGTTCAAGCCTTCCGCTAAACCCGCAATGCAGCATCCGAAATTGGTTCTTTCAGATGCCCCTAACGCTGTTCCCCTCGTCCCCGAATGCCGCAACAGGCGCCGCTCACGGCGGCGGCGGTGGCCGCGGGGGTGGCGGAGGACGCGGCTTCGAAGGCGGACGCGGTGGTGGAGGCGGCGGGTTCGGCGGCGGGTTTGGCGGCGGATTTGGCGGCGGTCGGCACAATGGCACTGGGGGCCTGGGCACTCGCGTGGGTGAGTCCGACTTAATTGCTTTCTTTACTGCCTCATTGGTTTCGTCGCTAGCGTGCACGGCTGAACGACACAATGGCGAGCATCAATGGTCATCAAAGCTGATGTATTCTCTTCTCTTGGTCACGAACCCTCGCCTCCCTTTACTATAAGCCGTCTATCTCTCCTGCTCTCATCCCCCTGTTCCACATCCCTCCTGCTCTTATTCGGCCAGGAGCGGTGGTGGCGAGGCTGAATGGCACAGAGATCACTACCGCTGCCTTCATAATAAAACTCCTTGTTCCATATCTCCCCTGCTCCTCATCTCCACTGCTCCTCATCTCCCCTGCTCCTCATCTCCCCTGCCCCTCATCTCGCCAGGGGCGGTGGTGGCGAGGCTGAACGGCACGGAGGTGACCAGCGCTGCTGGCGATGTCAATGCCACGGGCGTCATCTCCCTCGCTGTCTTCCAGTGAGCCCCCCCTCTAGCCCTCACTGCAAAATCACTTTCTCATTCCAACATCTCATTCCTCCTCTCCACTCTTCCGCTTCCCTCGCTGTCTTCCAGTGAGCCCCGCCTCCAGCCCCACCTCTCATTCGACCGACTGTTCGATCTTCCACTTCCCTCGCTGTCTTCCAGTGAGCCCCACCTCTCACTGCCCTGCTTTCCCAGCCGCATTCCCTCCTGCTGTGTATCACCCCTCTCTCCTGCACCACCCACCCCTGGCTGGCAGGAGTGGCAGCGACTACAACATTCGCTACGGAGCCAGCATCCGCCTCACCGCCCCCGGAGCTCCCCTTTCCATCGCCATCAGCACCGGCGCTGCCGGCTCGGCTGACGGCGGCGCCGCCCTTCTCGAGTTCTCCGCCAGCGAAGCAGCGTGGGCCAACATGACTTGGAACGGCACCCGCAGGGACTCCCGCGGCCGCAGGCACGCCGCCCCCATTCCGAAATACTTTGGGTTTTTCCGCCCGGCTGCTCGTACCGGTTATGTGTATGGTTTTTCTGGTGTTTGGTACAATGTGACTCAGTACAGTAACGCGGACGGGCAGAGCTATTTCGAGGTTGCGAATCTGCTCTTGGCGAATCCGAGTGGGTACTTTGGGATTGTGAAGACTGCCGTGTTTGCTGATGGAGCTGGCCGCGGTCAGTTTGCGAATTTCACCCGCCCGACCCCCAACACGTTCTGGCAGCGGAGCTAGAAGAGTGGTGACCGTTGGAGGGAGTTTTGGTCTCCCTGGCTCTTGTTTACCGAATATGGCCTGGATAAGGGAAGTGCAGGAGTGGTAGCAGGTGATGATGATGAGCCTAGAAAAGCCGGTTGACATGCCAAGGCAGCTGCAATCTGTAGGGTTATCATTGGGAAGTTACCAGGTTTTTATGGCATTTTATAGTGATACAGCGTGGAATGAAGTGTGCCTGATTGGAAATGAGAGGCACCGTAACAGGAAACCCTTTTGCACAGCGTGATAGTGGAATGAAGTGTGATGGCAATGACTGCTCTCCAGCGCACACGGGCCTTTCATTCTCCCGCCTTGCTGTGTTTGTGGGCAGGGCACAGAGAGTGGCCACTGGCCAGTTGTGAAGCGCTTCGACAGCATGATCTCATCCCAATTCAACGCAACCTAGACCATTTGAAGGTTCACTCACACCACCACTCCATCTCGTGCTCACTGCTCAGCTCAATGCTCAATGCTCCGCCTGCCATACTATCTGATTTTTGAGAATTCTCAAAAACCACCACTCCATCTCGTGCTCAGTGCTCACTGCTCAGCTCAATGCTCAATGCTCCGCCTGCCATACTGGAGGCACTGCCCGGTTGCATCCCATCCCAAGCACCCTGGTGTTCGTTTAAAGCCTGCAAACATACAACTCGGTAAAGAGATGAAACCGCCTGGTTGAAGAATGGTTTTCTATCAACCCCAACAATATTGATAAGGCAAACAAAGAGGAATAAAATGCATGCCTACACCAGTAAACATCGTATTGTCAAGCAAACCTGATGTGGAACAGCCCAATGTTTCAGGTCTTCATACCTAACTTTGTACGTGCATCGTATCACCTTCACTCTTCGTCCGCAACAGCTACAGTGGTTTGTGCCCCCTCATTTCCAGGAAAGCGCGCTCTGAGAGCAGATATGTGTGCCTGGGGAAGAGGTCCCCTAGCTAGCAGCAAGTGAGTCGTGTCATTCACCCTCCCCACCCTCCACCCACCACTCCCTCCATCACCACCACCACCACTGCTGCTGCTGCTGCTTGCGCCACGTGGCATTCGGCTATTGGCTCCCGGGGAGTAGGTCAAAAGAGTGAGGGAGGAAATTGCAATGTCGAATCTGTGAGTGAAATGGGGACTGGACCCTATCAGGCCCTTCAAGAGGCATTTGATTGCCGTGGAGTGGGAGAAGATGCCGATTCGATACGGTAGGATGGGAGGAGCGTTGGGCGGCATGGAGCGACATTTAGCTAAAAGTGCAGCAGAGCGGGAAACTGCGAGTTGGTTGAAAAACTCAACCATTCGGAATTCAACCTGGGAGGGAAAGGGGTTGGGCGGGAGGGAGGGGGGTGCGGGGTGGCGGGATGCCATTACCAAGGGTAATGGAAAAATATGCATTTACAGATACTTCATGGATTAAAAAAAAACATTGAAATGACAAGGTGAAGTCACTGAGTGAGTGAGCCACTGAACTTCGCCTCAAGGTCAGGACAACACAAACAAAGCTTCAGGCACCGCAAACAAAGCTTCAGGCACCGCAAACAAAGCTTCAGGCACCACAGACAAAGCTTCAGGCACCACAGACAAAGCTTCAGGCACCACAGACAAAGCTTCAGGCACCACAGACAAAGCTTCAGGCACCACAGACAAAGCTTCAGGCACCACAGACAAAGCTTCAGGCACCACAACACAACCCATGCTGTGAAAACCAGGAACTCACCTGCCGCTGTGACTCCCCTCCTGGGCAGAAAAAATCCGGCTGGGCGCTTGTGATTCGTGGAAGAGAGGCGTCAGTAAGGAACACATCTGCCCGATTCTTCCCCTCCCACTGCCCGCAGCTCTGCTCCTTCAACTCCTCTGCCTCCTGCATTCGGCTGGGTGGGAAGCCAAGCTCCTGGGAGGGGAGGGATACAGGGAATGCAGAGGGGTTATGGGAAGAGGAACGGCATTTGGAGGTGTTATTGACTTGGCCTCAACATGCCAGTTCTTCCCCTCCCACTGCCCGCAGCTCTGCTCCTTTCAACTCCTCTGCTTCCTGCATTCGGCTGAGTGGGAAGCCAAGCTCCTGTAAGGGGTGCAGGGAGTGCAAAGGGGGCATGGAAAGAGGGATGGCGTTTGGAGGTCTTATTGACTCAACAATAGAATGCCATCAGCTTCAACTGCCCGCAGCTCTGCTCCTTCAACTCCTCTGCCTCCTGCATTCGGCTGGGTGGGAAGCCAAGCTCTTGGAAGGGGTGCAGGGGATGCGGAAAGGACATGGGGTGCAGAGGGGGCATGGATTGAAGAACGAGCCGTTGAGGCGCTAATGAGTTGGATTTGAATTACCGCCTCTTCCCCTCCCTCCCACTGCCCGCAGCTCTGCTCCTTCAACTCCCCCGCTTCCTGCATTCAGCTGGGTGGGAAGCCAAGCTCCTGAGAGGGGTGCAGGGGATGCAGAGGGGGTATGGGAAGAGCAATGGCGTTTGGAGGTGCTATTAAGCTGGCTACTGAGTTGGCTTCAAAAAAGGAAAAAAAACAGAACTAAACTGAACAGAACGCTTTCCCTTCTTCCTTGCTACACTCGTTGCTCCTTCTGCATGTAACACCAGCAACAGGTGGTAACCCTACACCACGCACCTGGCATGTGACATAAGCAGTTTTCCACGCCCTGGGGAATGGAAGAGGTGAAAACCTCATCAAACATCACCCCATGGAACTCCAACAGGTATCTCATCCCCCCAGTGCCTCCCCTACTGTCTTTACCAGTTGGTAACCAGTGCTACACATCTGGTAACCCTACGCTATGCACCTGGCAACCCTACGCCACGCACCTGGCAACCCTACGCCACGCACCTGGCACGCAGTCTCCCACGCCCGGGGGATGGGCGACGCAAACACCTCATCAAACATCACCCCCTGGAACTCCACCAGGTATCGCCCTAACGCCTCCCCGTGGTGTCATCAGCAGGTGGTAACCCCGGCATGTAACGTCAGCAGCAGGCAGGCGGTAACCTCACGAGGTGACTTTTGAGTCGACTCAAAAGTCACCTCCCCGTGGTGTCGTCACCAGGTGGTAACCCTGGCATGTAACGTCAGCAGCAGGCAGGCGGTAACCTTACGCACCTGGCATGTGGCATAAGCAGTCTCCCACGCCCGGGGGATGGGCGACGCAAACACCTCATCAAACATCACCCCCTGGAACTCCACCAGGTATCGCCCTAACGCCTCCCCGTGGTGTCATCAGCAGGTGGTAACCCCGGCATGTAACGTCAGCAGCAGGCAGGCGGTAACCTCACGAGGTGACTTTTGAGTCGACTCAAAAGTCACCTCCCCGTGGTGTCGTCACCAGGTGGTAACCCTGGCATGTAACGTCAGCAGCAGGCAGGCGGTAACCTTACGCACCTGGCACGTGGCGTATGCAGTCTCCCATGCCCCACCAGGTAGGTACTCCACCAGGTATCTCCCCAACGCCTTCCCCTAGAATCTTCAACAGGTGGTAACCTGTGCTACGCACCTGGTAACCCTATGCTACGCACCTGGCACGTGGCGTATGCAGTCTCCCACGCCCGGGGGATGGGCGACGCAAACACCTCATCAAACATCACCCCCTGGAACTCCAAAAGGTATCGCCCCAACGCCTCCCCCTGCTCCCGGCCCTTGCTGGTCAGCGGTATTGCCGGTGACTGCCCTCCTATTAGGTGCGGCAGGTCTAGCGACTCTGCATGGCTGGAAGGGGGGGCGGTGGATGTGCAAGGGAGGGGACAAAGGCGTGAAGCAGGTCTCGCCCCAACGCCTCCCCCTGCTCCCTGCCCTTGCTGGTCAGCGGTATGGCGGGTGACTGCCCCCCCCACCAGATGGGGCAGGCCAAGCGACTCTGCATGGCTGGGGGTGTGCAAGGGAGGGGGTGGATGGATGGGGGTGGATGGATGGGATGGGATGGGATGGGATGGGATGGGATGGGATGGGATGGGATGGGATGGGATGGGATGGGATGGGATGGGATAGGATGGGATAGGAGGAGAGATCGGGCATGAAAGGTGTCCTGTTCTTCCTGCCGTTTGCAGATAACCATGAAAGAGAATACAATGCCATCCCATGCTATCCCATGCCATCCCATGCCATCCGATGCTATCCCATGCCATCCCATGCCATCCCATGCTATCCCATGCCATCCCATGCCATCCCATGCTATCCCATCCCATCCCATGCCATCCCATGCTATCCCACCCAACTCACCGCATGACATAGAACTCAACACGGATCTCCTCAGCACGGCACTGAGCATCAGGGGCCGCCATCGCCCACCACGGATACTCCTGCTGCTGCTCCGAGCCTGCCCCCCACCCCATACCATCCTTCTCAACGCCCACTCACCGCACGACATAGAACTCAACACGGATCTCCTCAGCACGGCACTGGGCATCGCGAATCGCCACCACCCACCACCGCCCATGCTATCCCTCCCATCCCTCCCATCTTCTCAACCCACACCATCCCTCTCAACTCCCACTCACCGCACAACGTAGAACTCGATGCGGATCTCCTCAGCACGGCACTGGACATCGGGAGGAGCCACCACCCACCACGGGTACTGCTGCTGCACTGAACCTGCCCCACCACCCCATGCCATGCCTCCTCCTACCCCTGCATTCCCCACCCAGCCCCCCATACCTACTCCTGCACCAACCCCTGTCGCCATCCCTGCCCATACCCCTGCACCTGCCCCTGCCCCCACACTCCCACCGCCCCCTGCTATTGCCACTGGATCCCCCATACTCAGTCCTCCAGGGGACGCAGCACCGGACCCGCCTCTGCTACCACTGCCACTGGTAGCAACAGTGCCACCACTCACCACACCACCAACCCCACTGACCGACCCACCACCAACCCCAACACTCGCCCCAACGCTCGTCCAGCCAGGACCACCGAAAATGCCAGTACCACCGCTGCCGCCGCCGCTGCCGCCGCTTCCAAAGGAGCCGGTGCGGCCCCTCCTGTGGAAGGACCTAAGGGCAGGGCTGCTGGCCGCAGCATTGACTGCAGCATTAACCCCAGCGTTAGCCGCAGCATTGGCCGCAGCGTTAACTGCAGCGTTAGCCGCAGCGTTTGCAGCAGCAGGGCGGAACTGATGGGGACTGGCAGGCGGAAGGGAGTAGCGTGGACTGTCGACAGCAGGAGAAGCAGCAGCAGCAGCAGCGGCGGTGGCGGCAGCAGCGGCGGAAACGGCAGGAACAGCTGCAGAGGCAGAGCTGTGCCTTACCAATGCGCCCAGTCCACTTTCCAGCCCCATGGCTCCTCCTAACCCTCCTACTTTCCCTCCTATCCCTCCTCCTATGCCTCCTGCACTACCCCCACCCCCACCCAACCTGCCACCAGCGCTGCCGGTGCTACCCACACTATCACCCCGGGCCATCTTCGCCATAATCGAAGCCACCTGTGCTGCTCGCTGCTCCCTCAAACCCTGCTCCCTCCTCCTCCTCTCCTCCTCACCTCCTCTCTCACTCTCCCCCTCCTCCCCTTCGTCCGAATCGTCCTCAGAATCTTCCTCGGAATCTTCATCACTGATCTCCAGGACAGCGTATGTGTTTTCGTCGTCTGGAGCGTCGTGAGGAGAAGCAGTGGCGGATGCAGCAGCAGCCGAGGCAGCAGCGGCAGCTGCTGAGGCTACGGCAGTGGCCTCACGAGCAACAGTGGAGAGAGAGGCTCCTAGCTCCGCCAGAATACTGAATCCTAACCCTAGTCTCCCGCCTTCCTCGCTTGACCCAGCAACACCAGCAGCAGCAGCAGCGGGAGCACTATTGCCACCTGCATCACCACCAGTGGCAGTAGTGCTGCCAGCACCACCACCAGCAGCAGCAGCACTAGCAGCAGTGCTACCACCCGCACTAGCAGCACCAACACTACTAGCGCGAGCAGCAGCAGCGGCAGCAGAGGGAGTCAGGTTGTTAGCAGCAACAGGTTCGGTAGCCGAACCAAAAGCAGGCTGGAATGGTCGAGTCAAAGGGGCACCCAAGCCTGGACCTCCAGCCCAGGCTACAGGCCTTCCTCCCGAGCCTAATCTTGGACCTGGAGCCATGGTAACACCAGCGAGGATCCCCGTACCTGCACCCCTGCCTCGGCCCAAACTTCCGGGCCTTCCAGGCCTTGCTCCGGCTGCCGGAGCTGAGGTGGGGGTTTGGCTGCCCAAGCTGTCAGAGTCAGGGAAATCCATGGCTGAAAGCTCGTAGGTGCTGACACTGCTGCCGGTAGGAGAGAGAGTGCCAGGGGTGCCGAATCCTGAGTCTCCTGACCCATACTCTTCCTCCTCCTCCTCATCCTCATTCTCTTTTTCCTCCTCTTTTACAATTTTCTTCACTTCCTCCCCTTCTCCCCCCTCCCTCCCCTTGTCGTTACCCTCCCCGTCCTTCTCTCTCCCATCCCCATCCCCGCTATTTCCTGCCTCTTTCTCATCGTTTATTTCCACTGATCTACTCATTCCCATGCTTTCATCCACTTGCTTCGACTCCTCCCTCTCCTCCCTCTCCTCCTTCGCCTGCCCTCCACCACCAACACCACTGCTAGTACCACCAGAGTCACCGTGAGTGTTAGCAGCAACAGTATCATCACCACGAGAAGCACTGCTTCCCGCATCCTCACCACCACCGATTGCACCACCATTAGCTGCAGATGCATTTACATCCATGCTCTCAGCACGCGTTTTCTCTACCATCGCCACCTCTCCCTCCCAGTCCTTTTTGCCTTCCTCTTTCCCACCGACCATCCTGTACACTTTACAAGCATCTCCGCTATCCGCCCCAAGTTTCCCAAGGGGCTTTTCCAATCTCATGCTTTCTGAACCGTCGGATCCACTCGCTCCGTTCTTCTCCTCCTCCTTTTCCTCCTTCCCCCTCCCCTGCCCTTCATCCTCGGTAGTATCAGACTCATCTAGCCCCTCTGAACTTCGACTCTTCTCGTCCGTATCACTCCCCTTCTCCTCCTTCACCTCATTCACATCCTTCATTCCAACCAAATCATCAAACCCATTATCTGGTGTCCCTGCGTTTTCTCTTTCAGGGTCACTGATACTCGTACCACCGCCGCTGCCGCCGCCACAGCCGCTGCCGGCACGGCTGCTGCCGCTGCCTCCGCCGCTGCTGCCACTGACGCCGCTGCTGATGCTACCAGATGCCTTGGTCACACTACTCACCCCGCCTAACTCCATCCCACCTGACTCCACCCCTCGTACCTCCGCTCCACAACTCCTCTCCTCTGCTGCTCTCCCTCCCTCTCCCTCCCCTTCCTCCCTGCTGTCTCCTGCCCGCTCGTCCCATCCCGCAGCCGCGCCCACCCCTCCTGCACCTCTCCCCTCCCCCTCTCCTTCGTTCCTGCTGCCTCCTGCCCGTCCATCCCATCCTGCAGCCGCGCCCACCCCTCCTGCACCTCTCCCCTCCCCCTCTCCACGGATCCTATTAGGTGGGGATGGGGGGGCATTTGCAATGGCGTTAGCAGCAGCGACAGCAGCTATCGTAGACGGGGAGAGAATAGCAGCAGGACCGTACTCCACTCCTCCCATACCCACCATACCTCCCATAACCCCTGCATTCCCCACTCCACCCCATCCAACCCCTTCTCTATCTTGCACCATCACCTCCGCCTCTCCCCCCTCTCTTCCCTCCTCCCCCTCTCTTCTGACCATCTCAAAGTCTCTCTTCCCATCCCCCACCATGGGACCTGCTGACGTGGGTGCTAGAATTGGCATGGCCACGCCAGCACCAATAATATTACTCCGACTATTAGCTGCACCAATAGAGGGGCTGGAGGAGCCTGGGCCCATCGACACGGGCAGCTCCTCCTGGCCTCCGTCCGAACCTATCCGTAGAGGTTCGGCCCGAACGTACTCAGCCCGGGCCGTTCCTGCATCTGCCCCGCTTGGGTCCCATCTATCAACAATGCCAGACCAAGCCGGAGCCCCTGCTCCGTATTCCCCAAATGTTTCTGGCATAAGTGTGGCCTGTCCAGCTACAAACGGAGCAGCTTCTATCGCGGCTGAAATTCCTCCACTGTCTGCTTCCAGGAACGAGCTCCCTGGTGGTTGGTCGAGGGTGTACTCGTTATACTCAGCTCCAAATTCGCGAGGATCCCACTGACCACCAAAATGTTCTCGTAATTCAGCCGGCACGCCTTCTACACCCCCGTATGCCTCCATTCCGTGTCTTAAATATGCCTCATCTCCATACTGCTGCTGAAGGAGTTGTTGTTGCTGTTGGTATTGCTGCTGCTGAAATTGCTGCTGATCGTACGGCTGCTGCTGCCCGTACTGCTGCTGCTGCAGTAGCAGCTGCTGTTGCCTCTGCATTTCGCGAAAATACTTCTCTCTTCGCCGCCTTTCCCGCCGCTCTTGGCGGTCGTCATCGTCGTCGGAATCGGACGGAACCAACACCGACTCCACTCCACCCATTCTGTTAGTTTCCGAACCACGGACCAGCACTAACAGCTCGTCCCGAAAACCACACCAAAGCAACCAAATTTACACGAAACGAAATCGAAAGCCTTCGATTTCGGGCGACGCTAATTGGTCGAATTGAAGGGAAGCAGCACGGACCCCATTCCCATTCTTGGCTGAGAATGACACCACAGCAGCAACCTCCTGAAGGTCCACAGCAGTACGGGCGTCGTCAAGCTGATGGTTAACGTGATGTGGAAGTGCCGCGTCGAAACCTTTTCCAGGTAAGACTAATTAGTGATTATTCTTGTGTCCCGGCCTGATATGTCTAGTACTTCGTTAGCGATGTCAGCCGTTGTGCTGTGTGTACAGGGTTTCTGTGTGGGCCGTGTGTATTAGGGAATGTGGTGGTGGAGTGAAATGAAGGTCAACTAACACTCAGCCAAAGATTGCCGTTCCGACATTTGCGCAAGAAAAGAGGCCCTAGGGCTTGGTTCGTTGGGTTCGGTTGGGTGCTGGTTCCACCAACTGCACAAATGGTCAACTCCCTCGAATGTAGCGTACATCGCTACTGCTATTGTACCTTCCACTAGTTGACCACGTCTAATTTTACGATTGATGCACGTGATTGAGTTCTGCATCAATTCTAGGATTGACATTAGGCAGATAGCATGGTAAAAGCCTTCCAGCAGGCAAATGCGGATTCAGGGAAATAGACGAAACTTATGTATACGGTATCACTGGTTGCCTGTTCTTATAGTTTGTACATTTGAACCAGAATGGCTTTTTATTACCATACCAGTAATCTACAGTGCCACCTCATGGCCAGCACGGCCCTCCTATCCCATCTAGAAAAGCGGGCTGCATCTAGACTAGAGGTAAGCTGTGATGTAGTAGACTAGAGATAAGCTGTAGTGTAAGCTGTAGTGTAACTTGAAATGGTATGGCTACCACGTTGCAGTCACAGGGCAGGAGCCTTCTGCAGGGTTGGGTGTTTGGTAGCGAGCAGGTTTATTAGTAGAGCAAGCAGGGAGTGAGTTTGCAAGGAAATCTTGCACCAGCTGGAAGCGCCAATGACTGTTTCTCTCAACTCAAGCCTTGGCAGCAACTACAGGGCTGGTGTTGTCTGGAGTCCCTTGGGAATCTGTTCAAATACATAAGCGGATCACAAGAAAGAAGGGGAGAAAAATGAGAAGGGGCTCCTTTCATCTCCAATTTCTCCACTCAGAACCTTGATTTCGTAATTACAGGGCAGCTACCTTGATATAGTGACAGGTAGTGAATGGTGTTTCGGAGGTCCCATTTAGTAAGCTCCACTGGTTCATTTCCGCAGCTAGCTTATGGCAAGCAATCATGGAAAACACATGGCAAATCACATGAAACAAACCCAGCAGACAGCAGCGCTCACCTTTCTTCCAGAGCACAGAGGGCCGGGGGGCGTCATTCTTGGCGAGGTAGAGCCCACATGCGTTGCATAGGTGCTGCCCACTCCCTGATCGGTCCTTCCTCCAGAACGGAGTCGTGTGCGTCCCACAATTCCTGCACGCCTTCTCCTTCTCCCTCTCCTTTTCATTATCCTTTGACCTCTCCTCCTCCTCTTGCTCCTTGCTACGGCCACACTCTCCCTCCATTCCTCCACTCTTCCCATTCATTCTCAGAGCCGCAGGGCCCTCCACCACCTCGGAACCCACCCCTCCATGCTTTTGCCTCTTTTTCCTCTTTCCTTGCACATCCACGCTCCCAGCCGCTGCGCCCTCTGCCCTCCCAAGCCTTCTCTTGTCCCCCACCACTCCTGCTCCAGCCTCAGCAGCAACCGTTCCCCCAGGGTTCAGAAAGCCGAATACTCCAGCAGCAGAAGCGCCAGCAGCACCGCCAGCACCAGCACCAGCAGCAGCAGCAGCGGCAGCTGCAGCCGCGGTCCAGGGGAAACCAGGGTACTGACCCATGGTGCAAGCATAAGCTCTGGCTTGATCAGCAGCAGCAGAATGGAAGCTGGGGATAGGGGAGATAGCTGGGAGGATGCGAAGAGGAGTCTGTAGATGACCCATCGGACTAATAGTGTTGACGGGGGTGACTGCGTTGACTGGGTTGACTGCGTTGACCGGACCCGCCAGGGCCCCTGGCTGCTGCGCTGCTGGCCGAATTGGCTGTCCGCCCGCCTTCACTTTCTGAAGGCCCTCCGTGCCCTGGCTGCACGGTTTCAGCGCGAATGAGACGGCTTGACGGGATGATGCGCATGCTTCCACAGCAGCAGAGCACGTTATCGTGGCGCAATTGGACGAGAGCAGGGCTGACGTGTCATTCGACCCAGAGCTCCTGCTCGCAGCCTTCCACGGGCGAAATCCCGACGGGAGCCGCTCACGTGGTAACACCTCCACTGGTTTCGCCGCCAATTTCGCCGACGGGCTTCGCTTGACAGTAGCTTTCGTCGCCACAGAAGAAAGCACGCGGGAGCGAGAACCGTCGCCAGAGAGGGAAGGCTTACTGGCAGCCATAAGGCTTTTATTGATCTCCATGTTTACGTCCGAAGCGGGACCACCAGGGGCCAGTAGGGCAGGACGTGCAGGGGAAAGGAATGGCGGCGGACCAAAGCAGAACCACGGCGGCGCATTGGGAACAAAAAGCCTCTGCTGCGCCCCCATCGCCTGCTGCTGCGCTTGACCGGCGGCGGGTGAGTGGGCGAGAAGCATGTGAGAGGGGAAGGTGGCGAAAGGAGCCCACCATCCGGCCGCAGCTGCCGCTGGGTAGGGAGGAATGTGGCCGAAAGGAACAGGTGCTGCTGCTGGTGTGGCGAAGTGAGGAAAAGGGGTAGGTCCGGACGAAGCTGCCTTAGTTTCTGTCTCCGCCGCGCCGGGGAGAGGAACGGTAGATGGCTGCGGCTTGATTGTCTTGGGGTGGGGAAGCTTCCAGTGTGAGGATACGTCAGCTGAAACTTTTGCTGATTCAACGGAGGGAGAAATTTGATCGTCGTCTTCGCTTTGGGCTGACGTGGCGCAAGGCGGGCTGAGGCTCAAGCCGATTGGTGGTGAGGGATCATCCTTGTATGAGAGAGCGGTAACGTGGGAAGACTCTGGTGAGGATGAAGGCGAGAGGGAGGGACATTGAGGCGTGGTGGGAAAGAACTGGAAGGGCGAAACGGGGCTGCTTTTAACGCTCTTTACAGTCGTTGAGTCCATTTTCTCGAAAAGTGGTGAAATGGGATGGATGTAAGTTGCTTGGGTGTGGTTAGCTGCGCTCCACATGTGATCAAGCTTCTTCCTTTCGTCCTTGGGACGGAAACCGCGAGATAAGGCAGAGTCAAGCTCAGTCATGAAACCAATTTTGTCGTTCGATGATAAGCTACTAACACCGAAACAGGTCAGCAGAAGTCGTACAATGTAGGCAATGGGGAACCAAGCTCACTTGCCGCAAGGATGAAAGGTGCTTTGGGAGATAAAAGGAGGACCTGTGTAACGTGCCAGAAAATAGAAACTCTAAAACGGCATGCACAAGTGAGAAATGAGAAAGCGATCAGTTGGTGATCAAGGTTATACTGTTGCCTGGAGCTCCATTCAGAAAGGGTAAGCCCACACACATAGCACGGGCGTGATGTGAAGCAAAGTAAAGATGGGATGTTGTGACAATGACAGCGCAAAAGCAACTCCAAGGGGGATGACGCAATCATCTTCCCGCCTGTCTTCGAGGGAGAAAATCTCGATGCGTCTCGCCACGTCTGCACAAACCACGTGTGTAATGCGGCCGTCAATGCCTGGGAGAGCGCCACGCCAGCTATGTTCTCAAGGCACGCGTGGCAGGCGCTGCGATCGGGCTGACCAACGATCAAGCAACGTAATCGTCAGTGGTCCCGCAAGTGACCCCCTTTCGATTCGTGCTCCGTCCGCACGCTAAATCTGATCCAGTTTAACTGGTAAATTTGAAGAAGCGCCCAATCGCTGTTCGAAACTGATCTGGCAATATCCATAATACGAGGGGTCCACGTTGGCAGATGAATGAAAGCATTCATCAAGGCCCTGCCGCCGCCCTTGAAGTTGAATCATGCTTCCCCTTTGTTTCTTCCACAGAACCTTGCACGCGTGGGACAAAAAGGCAACCATCTTGTGGACATGCTTCGCTCTCGAATCGCTCGTCGAATAGGAAGAAAGATCTTCTGCTGACCAGGATTTCCAATGGCTCTTGTTTCTCGAAACCTGAATGGAAGAAGGATCGACGCAATGCCAAGTCCGGTAATGAATCTGGCTTGTAACAGCCCCCATCTGACGTGTGCTTTTAGAACCCAATGTGGCGGCACGTCTGTCCGCCACATGAAGGTTCGGGAACACAGAAAGCAGATGGATTGATCTTGCAACGTTCATGCAACCCCAATGTACCGTCAGCTCCACCTTATCGCGATGACGTGGATTCTCCTGGAGTTTCAGGAACCTCACTATGGTGGACTGACTAAGTGACAGAACTGGCAAGGTACATTGATAGGAATTGTGTGTAAATTTTACAAAAAAGGCAGCAATTTAAGTTCAAATGCAATTTACTATCTACGGTTTGGCTCGTTATCAGCCCAAGGAAGGAATTTGGACAAGTGACCGATGAGGGAAACCTGTGAGACCACGTCCCTCGCCCCTCTAATAGCATTCTTTGTGCTCCTTGCAGCTGAAGCAATTACTGGAGTCACCGAGGGAACAGGCACCACTGCTCTCTCCTCGATGATCGCTGTCATGGAAAAAACGGACAGGAAACACGAGGAGATTAGGAAAGAGTAGAGGCAGTCACCAACCAAAACAAACAATTCCAATGCTCATGCAAGGAAATTGCTGAAACTGCGAGAATTTTGATCAGCCTTCAGAATTACTCACCAAAACCTCTCCGGAAATTCCTACCTGCTGTGCGTGAAGCTGCCAAGCTGCCAACTCTCCGCAACCCATCCTCGGCGAGTCGCACTGCACGAGCGGAATTCCTGATCCCTTGCGATATCTCCTGACTGCATTTAGAGAAAGGACAAAGTTAACTCATTAAGGAACCCATACACTACCCGTTGTACTTTTGACAAACTCAAAGGCTTTCAACAATAATGAGAGAACGCTTTTGCATATCACAGACCGCCTGAACAGAACAGAGGCCAACAGAAAGCACCTGCGAGTCCTACAGACTCGCCAGAGAGCATGTGGGACTCGCCAGACTCACCAGGGGGCATCTTAGCTGAGGGAATCAGCTCCATGCTCAGGCCGGTCATCTCGATGCCGGACATCCGCACAGCCACCATAGTCCCTGACACCTTTTTCTGCCACCTCCTTCTAACTGTCACCTCCCGTCTCTACCTGTCCTGGCCATGCACTCACCTGAGGTCGCTCAGCTCCATGCCTGACAGCTGCACAGCTGCCATACACCTTGCACCTACTTCTGATGCCTCTCAGCCTCCTGCCTCGACCTAAGAATCCCAGAGACTCACCTGAGAGAGAACTTAAGCGTCCTTTGCGCTCACCTGAGGTCGCTCAGCTCCATGCTCAGGTCGCTCATCTCCATGCCGGACAGCCGCACAGCCGCCATCGTCCCCGGCACCTCCTCCCGTGCCACCTCTGCTAGCCGCTCCAACGCCAGTGCCGCCTTGCGGATGGCCTGGAGGACATGAGGGGAGAGAGGGGGAGAGCAAGGGGAGGAGGTTGAGGGGAGAGGGGGGCGAAGAAGGGAAAGGGGGTGCTGGTTAGTCTGAACAAGGTACTGGCAAAGCACACACAAGTCCCTGGCACCTCTTCCCTTACCACCTCTGCTAGCTGCTCCAACGCCTCCGCTGCCTCGAGAATAGCCCAGAGGGAACCAATTAGCTTCTGCTAGAGATTGCGGAATCATTTGGTTCTTCTTACCATGTCGTTTTTCCCTTCAAACTCCCCCGCCCGTTTCCCCATAGCCTAACACACTATGTGCGAGTGGGTGCTGCGCTCTCGGTATGAACCCATGCAGTTCTCAATATGTACTCATGCCGTTCTCATTATGTACTCATGCCGTTCTCATTATGTACTCATGCCGTTCTCATTATGTACTCATGCCGTTCTCATTATGTACTCATGCCGTTCTCATTATGTACTCATGCCGTTCTCATTATGTACTCATGCCGTTCTCATTATGTACTCATGCCGTTCTCATTATGTACTCATGCCGTTCTCAGTATGTACTCATGCCGTTCTCATTATGTACTCATGCCGTTCTCACTATGTACTCATGCCGTTCTCAGTATGTACTCATGCCGTTCTCATTATGTACTCATGCCGTTCTCAGTACGTACTCATGCCGTTCTCAACATGTACTCACCAAAAGGGCAGGCACGGCGGCGACGAGCATGACAGAGAGCGCTGCTGTGATCTGCATGAAACCGCGGTATCAGGGAGAGGACAGGGCAGAGGGGAGCAGGGAAGAATGAAGGACGGGTTCTGGGGCGTGCGGTGTTTGCGGGGATGGAACAAAGGAAGGAAAGAGGTGATACATGCGAATGGACCACGTGCACTGCAATGAGCAGTTGCAAATCTTTCCTACAACCCGCGGCATTCCTTCCGTATTCCTTGATTGCATATCGGGTCCCGAGCACAAAAAAAAAAAAAAAAAAAAAAAAAAAAAAAAAAAAAAAAAAAAAAAAAAAAAAAAAAAAAAAAAAACCCCACATCCCGAGCCTACGCTCTGAACCCGTATCACCGAGCCTGCCCTTCAGCCCCGTACGTACAGAGCATGCCACGAAGCCCAGGCAGAGCACAGGAAAGTCGATCGGCGCTCCTTCCGCCCCGAATCTGATTGGCGGAGACGCTGAGATCGACGCCATGTGTTGCGACGCAGTTGGTCGCGATGCTGACGTGGCTGACGGATAACCGCCATGCGACGCGGACTCAACGCGGCGGCTTGAAGAGGACGATATTTGTCCGAAAGATGCGAAGGTTCCGGTACTGGTGTTGGTGTTGGCGTTTGCGAAAGTCGCATGGTTAGCGTTGACGGAATAGTTGTCGTTGGCGAAGGCTGAAGGTTCAGTGTCGCTGCGGATGGACGTTGACGGCGAGTTGACGGACTGCGAGTTGTTGACGGAACGCGGAGGCGAGATGTTGGAAGAGGCTTGGTCATGGAGGAACGCGGCGGCGCTTGCACTGCGATGGTTTGAGCGTCGCCAGGTGTCGCGGGAGAACAACGCGACGTGTGCGACGGAGGAAAACAAGGGTTGACCAAGAAGAGACGAATGGGCTGACGGACATCGGAGCGAAGCCTGCGCATGGCCGTTACGAGTTAACAACGGACGGCTTCCCTGCCGCGATGCTGCTGTTGTTGCAAGACGATCTGTTAATAGCGAAGGTTGTAAACTACCCTGCGTGCATCCAAGAGTCTTAGCCGTGGGAAGAGAAACGGTTTGAAGAGGCGCAGCCATGGCTACTGATGTAGCGGACGAGTTACTCAATCAGCCGCAGCGCCAGGGGATGCGTGCAGCCGCAGAGCGCGGACTTGCGGTGGTCTTAATCGTGGCAAGACTGCGTACGGGCAAACGTAAAGAGGAAACTAGCCTAATGGGGCCTCGTGGGAGTGCAGCCGTTGTGCAGCCGTAGATGAGGTGGTGTTTCCAAGACGGATCTCCACTGCTTGAGATAATTTCAAAACATTGGCGGCGCTGAGGGCTAGGATCTAACTTTTCCCGAATTCGCAAATCTCGCGTCCTGCATAAAAGTCGCTTCAGCACCTCTGATCCGGAGCAAATTTAGATCCTGAAGTCAAAACACAAGGGAGTACAGAGGAAGACCTCACGCGATATATAAGCAGGCGGAGAGTGCAATGTCAAACACTCGAAAGGGAGAAGAGAAAACAAGCTGACAACAACCCACTCCGCCGCTCTCGGCCAGAAACCTAATTGTGCCAGCCACAATCTAGTCTATCCCAGATGCAACATCCGCACGGCAAGCAGGGATTGCCGTAAAAGCACCAGCGACTGATGAAAGAAGCTCTCAGCCACAAAATTCCTGTGAGAGAATGGAGAAACCGGGAGCAGTAGTGGAGCGCGTTTAGATGTTCCGATTCTTCGAACAATTCGCTTTTCTGCGGGTTCGCTTGTTGTTGTGAGGGGACGGGAGTCAGAAAGTGTGGCTTGAAGTGTGTGGTGCTTGAAGAAATCCCCTGACACTTAGTTTAGCATTTCGTTCTCTATTTCTCATGAAACACTCCT